AGTCTTTACACTTTTATAACCCTATAATCCGCCGGCGGCCGGGCTTCCTTCCTAAGGACTACTATAATAGCGTAGCGCCACCTCCTTAGATAATAAGTCGCTTTAAGGCACACTATAAATATAGCATTTAATCTTTAATATAAAGGGGGGTCCGTAGGCCTTAAGGAGTCTTACTAGTAGCCTATTAGGCCTTAGCGCTACCTAGGACTTGGTCTTCTTAAGGCGTCCCTATATATCTATTATAGTAATATCGCGGCGGATATCCTATTTTGGGGGAAATACCATGCCTAGGGGCCTAAAGGTAGTAGAGTAGGGGGGGAGAAGAACTTCCTGCAAAGGACTTTAGGTTTTTTTACGTGTATTATAGCTAGGTTATCGCTATTGTTATTATCTTAGCGTAGTGGTGGTACCGATAAGGGGTCTAGCAGTGCCCCGCCCTTTATCCGTACTTATTTCTAGAGTCGTTAGAGGTGGTTAGTATTCTTCCTAATCGAATAAAGTAGGTACTATTAGTACTGGCGCTTCGCTAACGCTACGGCTTTATCCCGGCACCTCTCCGCCTCCTAGAACTTATCCTATCGGTTCCGGGACTTCTTAGCTATATATCTACGGTAAAAGCGCCTTACTTCCTAGGTAAAAGCGGTTAGCTCACCTACAGGCAAACTCACATAGGGGGACCTACGTTTTACGTGCGAACGCCCGAAACCACTCGAAACAAATATCAATCAATAGCTCTTTTCAAGCTCTATACGCCTATCTATAGCCCTATATCGCGCAGGCGCTAGTTTAGGCGTACTATAAGTGCGAAAATGCCTGGGAATAGGCTTATAGCTCTTCCACGTGCGGGGGAAAAGTCTAACGTAGCCCGTGCATACGCCTACGCTGATAAAGCAGTAAGCCTAGCTGCGTAGAGCCGCACCTACGACCTCTACACAACCACAATGCCATACACAATAACCTACTAGCTATAACGCTAGCCATAATAACGTCCCTAATACCCTAACGCACCTAATGCCTCTAACGGCCCTACCGCCCCTGCCTCTAAGGTCCCTATAACTATAGAGGGCCTAGAAGAGATAGATATAGCTAATATATCTAATATAGAGGATTTAACCCTCGCTACGCCCCGTAATTTAAAAAGGCATCTTAGCCCCTCTACATCCACTACTAGACGTATTTCTAAGACCCGAATCGAATCCCCCTCTAACTCGGAGTTTAAGCGTAGTATTAGGGGGATAGCGTAGGTGGTAGACACGACTAGTGGCCGCGTAAGGCCGTGGGTTCAAATCCCACTCCCCTTAATCGTGCGTAGATTTTTTAATTCGCGCGCGACCTACCCGGAGCTCCTGCACGTTATAGGGGTCCCCGTATATTCGGGGAGATATGTATTAGCTTACGCGCTGATAAGTAGAACTATACTGCCTCAGGTACCGTACCCTCCTTAGGGGGGGAGGGTACGTACCTACCACGCGTAATTAAGCGCACCCATACACACACCACTACGATCGGGCTATATAAGCTAGGGCACTTCGTGGAGCATGTAACCTGATAAGACAATTCCCGGAATAATAAGAGACCTAGATCGCTATAATCTAAGGAAGCTATTTATAAGGATTTCACTTCACTATTAACAGGTTTATATAAATAAACTAGTTAACTCGTTATAGGATTAGTCTCCTTAATAGACTCACGCTATAGCTCTAGGGCTGTATACGCGTATTAAATAACTAAAAAGAAAAAAGCGTAGTATTAAATAAGTGCCTACTAGAGTCTTTAGGGGTAGCGATATCCTAATACCCGACCCTTCCGAGCCACTATAAGAGGCCCTAAACCGAAGCCTATACAAGGGCCTATGTTTATAGAACCTAGTTACTAAAATCGGTATCTTTAACCCTATTAGGGTTGTAGGGAAGCCTTGGTAGCTAGGGACTCCGAATGCGTTTTATAGTATACTGGTTATTTCCATGTCTACTACTAAAGAGCCGAAGTACTGCCTAAAATAGAGGCTTTATATAGCCGGCTAGCGGCTAAAGGTTAATAAATATAGACCTATAACTCTTAGAACCCAGTCCTCTAACTACTAGAAATTCGGATATACCCGAGGGACCTATAAAAGTCTCGTTACCTGCCCTATCTACGCTTTCGAAGGCCACGGGGAAGAATACTATTACTATAACGAGTATAAAAAATACGGAGACTACGAGTATAAGACCTGTAAGTGCTATGACTATAAGGGAGAGCACTCCCTCTTGAGTAAAGACTATAAGGTCTTTCGAACTCTAAAATTCTAAATTCTATAAATAAAGGGCCTTTTATTTTAAAAGATATCCGGTTTACTTAATATAATATTAATAAATAGGGCACAGCGTAGGAAGCTATCCTAGAATAGGCTTTAGAAGCTTCGGCTACTATAATCCTTATTTAGAAACCTGCCTATATCTCGAAACCAGAAGGGTGGTTTATTCGGAACCACCCTGCTTTCTATACCATTATACCTATATCCTAGAAATCCTAGTTTTTCCCTATTAAGCCTAGAGTCCTTACTTATATAAGAAAGGGCTCTAGTATTAATTTCTCACACTGTGATAACCTTCTAGATAATATAGACGCGTAGATTATAGAGGTTTATTATCTATCGACCTTTTATATTCTACACGTTTATAATTAGATAGAATAGGACCCCGAAACGATAGGCCGAGGGCCGCCTTCTAGCCCTACCCGTTCTACCTCTTCTACTTCTACTTCTTCTTCTTCTTTTCCCTTTTTTTAAGGCCCTAGAAGCCGGCCCTGGACTAAGGATCGAGTGCTATAAGGCCTATAGGTCCCTTAGCCTACCTTTATTATAGGGATCTTTAATAGAAACTACTAGTAGTGGAATAGGGCTACCACTAACCAGGCTTCTATTAGGCCCTAGGCCTTAGTAGACTAGTTAGATAGTCTCGGGGCTACCTATTTAGTGCATTATAAAGAATTTAACCTAAACGCGGGGACCTTTTTTAGGTCTATCTTCGTTAAGAGTCGGTTATAGACCTCGCCTTTTACACGCCCGGCTTTAATCGTCTCCGCTTCGATAAGTGGCAATATATCGATAACACTACCTCCTTATACCGTGCTATCCTCCTTTCTGCTACTCTTTTAGGCTTTAAAGGTTCTATAAACAGGTCCCTCCCGCCAGCTTATAACTATAAGCTAGTAGATCAGGACCTATTTACGCGGACCCTAAAGAGCCTAGAACCTAGCCTTAACCAGGACCTTTAACAGGCTATTAACGCCTTAGACTAGGACTCTTTAGGTTCCTGCCTCTCGGATACTATTACCCTAGCTCTTTAGGCTTTAGTGCTTAAGTTAAAGATAATAGAGCGTTCGAAGCCGTGGTGGTCTAAAGAGCTAAAATCCCTGCGAAAATTAGCTAGCAGGGCTTTTAGAGTATTAAGAGAGACGAGTAAAAAGAGGGCCTCGGCTACCTAGCTAGCGTTTTTAGAAACCTCCTGGAAAGAAGCTCGAAACGCCTACTACCGGCCGGTAAAAATAGCAAAACACGACTACTAGGACGTCTTCCTAGCCCACGCCGAAGGCCCCGAGATTTTTAAGCCCTATAACTATACGAAGAGGTAATAGTAGTAGGATAATTATAGTAGTCTATGCTTCTAGGGGCCTAGGTAAGGGTAAGGGCGTGATAATTAGGGTAAGCGTCGGGTATATAGTAGGTATAAGATACGGGTTAATTTAAGACCTTTTAAGGGTAGCTTATATACTAATAAGTATATCGTTAATAAGGGCGATATATATCCTTATCGTTTCCTATACACGCTATAATACGCGTTCGTTAATCTTATTATATAAGGTCCTTATAACCTGTCTTTAGCCCCTTAGTAGGCTTAGGGCGAAGTAACCTAGACCTCCTTTTATATAAGCCTTAAAGCTTATAGTCTTAAGAGTTCGAATATATAACGGCTTATTAAAAGTTATTTATATATTAAGACCGAAAATATAGTTTATTTGAACTAAGAAAGAAAAGGAGGAAAGGAAAAGTCTACGCGGTGTATAGGCGGCTAAGTACAGATTATATCGTATAGGCCTTGCTAGGAGGTCTATATTCCTTAGTCCCGGCCACTACCAGGGACTATTTCGCGGGCTATAGCCTATAACACCTATAGATATCTACCTTCTAAGCCTAAACGTATAATTGGCTACTAGGTTATTCTACCCCGAAGGAGGTCTATGCGATACTCCAACGGTCCTACAAGGGCATATAACGGTATATAATTATCTCGATCAATTAACGATTTCAACCCCTTAATTTTTAACCCTATTTTTTAACGGTTCCAGTTACTCTGTATCTGACAGACCCCGCATTTCCTACACTGACGTCACCCGCATGCATGGCATTAACCGATCTACCGGTATTCCATTAGCCTCTAAACTTTATTCCCATTGCGGACGATATCCGTAAATCAAAGGATCGTAGACATGCTCACCTGTTCAGGTTAGATCAATGGGAGAACCATAGCTACAGGTTGGCCATAACGAACAACCCAGCTTACTGGCTAGCTGCCTCATTGTGGTTTACCTCAATTCACAATTGACGTTAAGCCTCCAGTATCAGATCACTCTGGCATTTGGTCTGCAACAAATCCCTGCGGTTATGTGTTTGCGTGCGTGTTACGCGTGGGAGTCGTGTGACTGACAAGGTGCCGCTTATGCACCAGCTCTTGAAAGGCAACCGGTTGCCGACATGATGTTTCTGTCCAATGCCATCGCGACACTTTCCTCGTACCCTGGCTCTGCCCAGAAGATTTCCTTGGTTTTGATGGTCACTTCCTTGCATCTTGCGGCTTTCCCTCTCTATACTGACGTCGCTTCAGACACACCTTAATACAGGCGTCATTGGCTGCACCTGACGCTACCTTCGATCACTTGCCCTTTCTGGAGCATGAGTCGGCTCCCAACTCGTGGCGTCTCCGCTTTGCTTCGGCAATAGTCTGTCCAACTGATGCAATCGTAATCCCTCCGAGTCCGGTGGGCATAGTTGGACCTACACAGCAGCAGAACAAGTCCCGCTAGACGAAGCTCTTAATGACGAAGCCATGGAGGACTACACAGTCTACCAAAGTATCTCGCCCTGTTCTCGGAGGCCTGGTCGATTGCCAACGGGTGAGATTCCCCACATATACCGAGCTGATGACGAAGTTCGGCATGCATAGAGCCATGCAGCCGTCTGGGGCCTCCTCTGGTTCCGAGTGGCATGTATGTGTAAGAGAGCTCACCTATATATGCTTCTTGTTTCGGCCTCAAGTGAAATTGCTACCCCGTCAAGCCCCTCCCTAAATCCCGCTACCCCGGTGTTCTGCGCAGCTTCGTCGTTGGTCCCAGCACTAGAGTAGCTCATGATGGCAAAACCGAAACACTTTTGGGCGGCTCTCGTCGCACTCATGCCCCCATTCGCCCGGGCTCAGCTCTTCCAGAATGGCTCGGTCACGGCTCCTTGTGATTCCGCCCTTTATTGCCATGGGGACATATTGAGCCAGGTTCAGCTTGCCCGGCCATTCCATGACTCGAAAACATTTGTGGATATGTAGGATATATCATCCATCTGCTTCACATTTGCATGAAATCAGACTGACATCTCCTGATAGGCCGGCGAAGAGATCACTGGAGGAGATACAAATGGCCTTTGATGCGCTACCAAAGCCACTCAAAAACGACTCGGATCTGAATGACTTCCTTGAAACCAACTTTGCCATGGCCGGTGGTGAACTTGAACCGTTGCAGGATCTAGATACCGATCCTGTGTTTTTGAACAAGATCGACGATCCTGTCATCCGCGAATTTACCGAAGAGGTCATTGACATCTGGCCCGACCTTACCCGGACTTACGCTGGAGCCGGCAGTAACTGCAGCGACTGTCCGAATAGCTTCATCCCAATCAACCATCCCTTTGTTGTGGCTGGCGGTCGTTTCCGAGAGCCATATTACTGGGACTCGTATTGGATCCTTGAGGGTCTATTGCGAACCAAAGGCGCCTTCACCCAGATCTCTCGAAACCAAATCGATAACTTCCTGGACCTGGTAGACCAGTATGGCTTCGTCATGAACGGAGCCCGGAAGTATTATCTGAATCGTTCTCAGCCACCCTTGCTCTCGCAGATGGTACGTCTGTATGTTGAGCAAACCAATGAGACGGATCTCTTGGATCGGGCTCTGCCCCTGCTGATCAAGGAACACGAATGGTGGACCGTTAATCGTACCGTGCATGTTACCAAAGGTGACAGAACATACCAGTTGAACCTGTGAGCCACTGCGTCCCCCGCTTCCAATTTCCAGAACCCAAGCAACAAGCATCATCCCCTCCCATAACATCCTGGGATACACCAAGCGGTACTGCTTGATTGTCAACTAACGATCCGTTCTCGCGCAGGTACAATGTTTCTAACACCCAGCCTCGTCCTGAATCATACTATGAGGACTTTGTGACTGCATCCAATGAATCCTATCATGCCAAATCGGGAATCATCTACCCGGAAACATTCAAATTGAACGACACAGAGAAGGCTATTGTTTACGCCAATCTCGCATCGGGTGCCGAAAGCGGGTGGGATTATACCACACGCTGGTTAGCACATCCCAGCGATGCTGTTCGGGACGTATACTTTCCCCTCAGATCCCTCAATATTATTAACACCGTCCCCGTGGAGCTCAACTCGATACTCTACTGGAACGAGTTGACGATTTCTCAATTTCTCAATAAAACGGGTAATGAGGGAGAGGCGGAGACATGGGCAGAGAGGGCCGCCAATCGAAGTGAGGCCATGTACGACTTGATGTGGAACTCGACCTTGTTCTCCTACTTCGACTACAACCTTACATCGGCAACGCAAAACACGCACGTTCCCGCAGACGAAGATGCGACGTGGATCGAACGAAACAAAGCGCCGACCGGCCAGCAAGTGTTCTTCTCAGTGTCACAGTTCTTTCCGTTCTGGACAGGGGCCGCACCCCCTCACCTGAAACACAACCCCTATGCGGTGAAAAGGGCGTTTGAACGTGTTTCTGCGTACCTAGACCATAAATCTGGAGGGATTCCTGCGACAAATCTTCACTCTGGGGAACAGTGGGATCAACCTAGTGTTTGGCCGCCTCTCATGCACGTCTTGATGAAAGGCCTCTTGAACACACCTCCAACTTTCGGCGAGTCAGACCCTTCGTACATCAACGTACAGGAGCTTGCTCTGCGTCTCGGTCAACGCTATCTAGACTCGACTTTCTGCACTTGGTACGCGACAGGAGGCTCCACGAGCGAGACCCCACAACTTGAGGGATTCAGTGATGAAGATATTGGCATCATGTTCGAGAAATATTCCGACAACTCGACCAATGAGGCTGGCGGCGGGGGGGAATATGAGGTTGTCGAAGGTTTTGGATGGACAAACGGCGTTCTTATCTGGGCAGTGGACACTTTTGGGGATAACTTATCCCGACCTGACTGCGGCGACATTAGCGCAGCCGACGTACAGCCAGCTAAGCGAAGTAACTCCCGAAGAGCCGTTGAGCTGAGTAGGCGGGATGCGTCTTGGACGAAGAAATTTGGGAGGTCGCGAAGCTCGCACATGTCCCATAGATCTCCCAAATAACCAGCTGACGGAGGCAATAGTTGGCTACTATATAGCAGGCTGTAGCAATGACTGTAATTATCAGATGCCCTCAGCCACCTTATCAAGGTGTGACAAACCATATTATATCATGTTGTGAGTATACATATTATGTGTCTTGGAGGGAAGAACTACACCTCTACGCCTCTTCAGGTGTCAGATGCCACAGCCTGTCGGACAGACCGTAGTTTTACGGTTACGTAACGGACCGGACTGCCGAGGTTATAGTGGATACCTGCAGAAACTTCACTATGGATATTACGGTGGCAGGAATTCCCTGACGGTCCTACACAATTATAATTATACATAATTGCCTTAATTAATTTTGACCTATTTTATGACGATTTTGACTTGTCAGATGCCTATAGCCACCTTATCGGGGTGTGACTTGCGCTATTTCTGTATACGGATAGGGTACTTCCGACCGATATATCTATATCGATTGCCCCTCCTTTTACCCTATAGTTAGATATTTCCGTAGAGTACTTTTTACACTTCTTTAATGCATATATATATCTTTTCCGTATCTTATTTATGTGCTGATATGACTACGCTTTATTTGATAATTAAGAGTCTTACTTGCTAAGTGAAAACCTACCCTTTACCCTTATTATTAACCGATTGAGACGCTATCTAGCTACGCCGATATAGCGAGTCTATCGATAACTATTAAGATATCGGATTATAAGCCTATTATCTATAAAACCTATTGCGATTAGGAGCTCTAGCGTAGTTACTACGAGGCTACTAATGTTAATAATAACGTATAGGATTATCTACGCCGTAATAATCCTATTTCCTATTTTTAAAGGCCTGTTCTGCCTTCTTACGCTAACTTCTAAGCTACAAACGCTATCCTAAACGTAGAAGCTACCCTTACATAGTAGTTAAATCTAATAGTAGCCAGGTAGCGCACCTATAAATCGGCTATATAGCGTTAGAAAATATAAAGAGATAACTATATTAAGTACATTAAGAGTACTAGCGCCGTGTTAACTAGCAGACTGATACTATCGATAAAAGCCGTAAGCTACTACTATACATTGAGTATGCAAAACTTTCAGTAGAAGCCAAAAATACCCCGCTACTACCACTTCTACTATTATCTTCGAAGTTCTCTAAAGACATTAATTGCTACTAAGAGAAGTAGTAGCTATATATTATAGACACCGTAGAAGCAAGGCTATAGCACGATATATATATTATTTATAATATAACTAGTTTACTAATATAACATTATAAAGACTATAGAGTATATAATTTACTAGAATATATATTATATTATATTAAAGCTCTTATAATACTATAGCCGCGATTTTACATTAATAAACTAAAAGTGGTTTTAGATTTAAGAGAGCCTTTACTTATAATAAATATAGTTACTATTTACTAAGTTATTATAACCGGTTTTATAGAGTTTATATTAGGCTACTATAATAGTAAGTCTAAAACAACGCTTCTATTTTCTTATAGATAATAGAAAGAAGAAATGCCTTCATACTATAAGATATATAAATAGACTCCAAATATTATATATGATATTTTAATCTTTATCCATTTATAGGAGTAAGAAGACTATATAGAAACCTATAGCTATTAGTCTCCTTTACTTATAGCTATGTAAACATAGAGGGTTAATATAGTGAAGCAAGTCTATTATAGGGTTTATACCGAAACCTTTGCCGACCCATAGTATCACGCTACGCCTAGAGAGGTGTTTAAAGCTATCCGCAACGATACTGCTTACTATATAGCTACCCGCCGCGTTAATACCTACAAAGAATATAACGAATATATTCGCTCCGTGGTAACTAGCCTTAAAAAGCTACAAGAGTAGTTAGTAAGATAGTAGGAGCTATTATAACGCCTTAAAGGGGTTATATCGATAGCTGTAATATATATCTGGGTAATAGACGTTTTTAGAGGGATACGTATAATAGCTAGGCGTGACTAGACCGAAGTCGAGAGACGCCTTTTAGATAAGAAAGCAAGTCTCTTTAAGGATCTTTACACCCTTAGTTAACGATATATTAAGACTAGACTTAAAGACTAAGGAAAACGCGGTAGCTATCATACTATAGTATTCCCTGCTTTATATACTAGAAGCGTAAATACGGCTCTGCGATATATACGGAAGTGGAAGAGCTACCTGTAGTAAAGAAGGTTAAAAAGAATATAAGTCGGGACTCTATATAGCTTAAAAAGGCGTGACTTACCCGTAGTAGCGTCTCCTACGTAGCTAGCTCTATAGTAGGAGCCGCTACTACTGGCTACTCTTTTCGGGCCTTTGCTATCCTTAATTCCCTTACTATAATTTATATCTTTAACGAGTTTTCCCGCTTTTCGGACTTTACCCTTATAATATAGAGAGACAATATCGTTGTAGGCAGCTTATTACTGTCTATTAAAGGTAACGGTAATGTGACTATAAGATTAAAGGGACTAATAGGAGGCCTTAATTTCAGGCTCTTAAATATCGCCTACTACGAAGACTTTACATATAATTTTTTGAAGATTGTGGACAAGTGGAAGGGACCAAAGTCACGAAAAGCAGTGGAAAAATAGATAATTATAATAGGATTATAATATAGGATTTCTGCGCGCGTGTGGATTAACGATAAAGAAGAAGAATAAAGGAAGGAAGAACCGAACCCAGGGGACGGGTTAATATCCTTTATTCATTCTTTCTTTGTAAAGAGATCGATATCGTAATAATATCGTAATTCTTTTGCTGACTCGAAAGAGAACGGTCTAGGCCTGCGGGGAAGATATCCTTTATTCGAGTACAAAGAACAAAGGATATACTTAAAGGATATCATTAGTAATAATATTAACACTCCGCTATAAGCTCGTTCTTATATAAGAAGGAGTAGCTCAAATCCAGGATATATATATAATATAGTTATAGCGTAGAAACCCTGGTTTAACTAACTAGGACTAATTATAAGAGGAAAAAATAAAACCTCTAAGGGAAAATTTTAAACCCTTGATTCCTTATAAAGAGAAATTCGAAAACCCTTTTTTATAATACTTGGAAACCCCGTAGGTAAAAAGCCTAGTTATAGTATCTTAGGGAAAACCCGAAGGTAAAAACCTAAGTATTTATATTTAGGAAAATCCGAAGATAAAAAACCTAGCTCTGTTATATACCTTAGTAATCTAGTTCTTGAATTCGGGTATAGGGTAATATATCGTAGTCAGGCAACATATCGCTTTTAAAGCCTAAATTTATATCACCGCATAGCGTATTATATAGGTCTTCAGTTAGACCTTTAGTTATTATATCGGCTATATTAAATTTAGTATTTATATAAACGACCTTTATTTTATTATTTTAAAGCTGTTATCGGCAGTAGTGATACTGACGGTCTATATACTTTACACGTTCATAACATTCAGGATTTTTATCAAGCTTCTTTGCGCTTTCGCTGTCTATTAATATAGTAGGAATCGGTATATAATTATTATTATTATTATTATATAAACCGAAGTTTACATCAGTAAATAACCTGAGGTTATCTACTAGGTCTGTATATATATTATATATATTGATTCCTTCTTTGGAAGCTTCGGTTACAGCTATATATTCTGATTCTGTTATTAATACAGTAACGACTTTTTATTTAGTAGAAGTCCAGCTTATTAAATTATTTACACCTATATAATAGATATAGCCTAACGTAGAAGTCCTGTCTTCGATTATATCTGAAAAACTAGTGTCAGAATAACTGTAAATATTAAGGTCTTTTTTATTAGAATAGTTATATCAAAGCCCGGTATTAGGAAAAGTGTTTATATAAGCCTAGATTCGATTTAAACCTATAGAGTGCTCTGAAGACGGATTATATATATATCGAGTATATTTATTTACAGCGTAGGTTATATCTGGTCTTAAGTATAGTGCTAAGTACACTAAAGCACCGATTTCCCGTTAGTATATTTTAATATTGGCTTTTAATGCCTGTTCCTGATTTAGTACCAGGATCTTTTTATTTATATAAGGGGTATCAACGCGTTTAACTCTTCGTTTATTATATTTATCAAGGATTCTATTCGTATAAGACAACTGATTTACAGAAAGGGTCCTATTTAACTTATTTATAGTGATTTCGTAGCCTAAAAAGGCATACAGTTAACCTAGATCTTTAAGTGAGATCTGTTTCGATATTTTGGTAAATATATACTATATTGTTATATACGAAGAGCTTAGTACTACTATATCGTCTATATGGTATAGTAGTATAGCGCGGTCTATTTTATTCTTATAAAAAGTAAATATACCGTTATCGAAATCAGAGACCAGGTAACCGATTTCGCGGAGTATTGTTATAAGGAAATTATACTAAAGCCCAGGGCTTTATTTTAAACCATATAAAGCTTTTTTTAGTTTATAAACTGATTTATAATCATTAGAGCCTTTTTTTTCGTCGAAGCCTATAGGCTATATAGTATAAATCTCGGTATCTATATCGACGTGAACGAAAGCGTTCTTTACGTCGAATTATCTAAAATTCCAGCCTAGGGATACGCCGAGTATAAAAGCTAATCTATAGCTCTCAGCTCTATAGATAGTAGAAAAGGTTTCCAGTAATTAATACGGAGTACTTGGTTAAACCCTTGTATACACTAACGTACTTGATATTTTATAACCTTATCTTTATCGTTATATGTAATCTTATATACCTAAGGGTCTTCTAGGACATTTAAGCTATTTTTATCTTTATTTCTATTATTAGTATAGTATTAAGGCGTATCTTTTATACTTATTAAATCCCAGGTATTTGTATTTTCAAGTTCTGTTATTTCAGCTACCATAGCTTCTATGCACTTAGTTTTATTAGAGCAGTTTATAGCCTGTTTATAAGTAGCTGGTTCGTATAAACTTTTACAGTTAAAAGAAAATAGGGATCTTCTTAAAACTATACGTTTCCGAGCATAGTATCTTTAGTTATATATAATAGGCGCTTATTAGTATCGTACGATATAAAATCGTTATCGTTTTCCTTCGAAGATTTAGAAGGGATTTGAATTTCTAACCTAGATTTAAGGCCTTTATTAACCGGGTCGGTTATCGTAGTATT